ATATCCAGGAAATGATGGAGAGGAGAAATATCCTGACATGTTGAATAACTTCTCACTGCAAGCTGGAAATGAAAGCAAAGAAACTTAGTCATGCATATGGTTAACGCAGCAAACCTTTACATCCAAATTGGTTTCCATATATATCCGTTACAGCAATAGCTAAGAGAAGTTTGTTTACACATCGTGGCTATCTCCCTTGTGATCAATTCTTTAATTCTTGTCACTGGTATACCAGATACTGGCTGACATCAGGCAATTACTTTGAGTTTGGTTTTGATTTTACTACGGTTTGAGATTGGTTGAGTAGTCTAATTGGTAGGTAAATGGTTTGGATTTGGTTTTACTCAATTGAAGAACGCTCTATCTAGTTGTTAATATTGATTATGTTTGCTTCTGTATATCTTGTTTTCAATTAGCTAGAGAACAGCACATGAAAATGACGACACGTAGGAAGAGCAGTCTAATTTCATCATTTAAAATGATGAGAACTAGCACGGATTTCTGTGGCCTTCTCATTGTCTAAGGCCTTTGGTTGGCTGTTAAAACTGTTACAAAATCACCTTGTTTGGCCGACAGCGGCTGGTGAGTGCAATGCGTCCCTTCGGCAATGTACAATCCAGTCAATGCTATTAAATCTTCCCTCTTCTCCGTCTCACCTTTTATCAATACCTATTGCGGAAATCAAACGCCTTTGAAACCATCGCAATATAAAAGATTCCACCTGCAGTGACTAACTCTAGTGTATTCTTTGCTACCCAGAAATTTTGCAGTATTTGAAAGCCAAAACCTCCTTTAATGTTACACTCCAAAAAGGTAACAATTTCACTAAGTTTCACAAGCCCCCTTAATGTTTGGAGTCGGTTGTATGTAACATGATGCCTTTTCTACGCAAAGTCGTTTGCTATTGAGGTATTAAAATCTTAAGACCTCAATTGCGAAGAGCTTTAAGTTCGTGAGGACTTTTAACGTTTCTTTTAATTTCTGAACAAGGTCGACTGACAGACTATGTTGAAGAGGTTTCAGGTATCCCCATGGGAGCGTACTCTGTACCTGGATGGACCATGTATTAGGGAAGTGGTATGGAGTAAACATACTATTCACAAATAAATGATTACTTGAAAATCCGAAACGGCACTCAATGGAACTTGTCCGTAACTCCAGTCTTGAGCGTGGTTGGTTCTTGAAATCCAGATGGGTATTTCTCTATAGCTCTTTGTTGTCTGGTAAATTGTCATTGTTTTCTTTCCAGACCCCCTCAACATGTAACGAAACTTTAAGCATTTACTGTGCCAGTCACGTGATCTGTCATATGGTGGGCTCAGAAGAACGGCAGATTGGACAGAACCGACAGTGTTGGTGTCTACCACGAGCCGATCGGCTTGAACATGTAAGCAAATTAAGAAATACATAAGTAAGAAATAATCGAGTGACCATGGCTTGAAAAAAGTGCTATCCGGTCGTCCGGGACAAGTAAATTCTCCTTCTGGGCAAGTACCTTTTCATTCTTACTTGCCCAGATAATGCAATTCGAGAGTTTTCTTTGGCTTAGCCATCAAGGGTAATGAGCCATTATACCATTCTCTACAAATATGGTAAGTGTACGCGTGACTTTTTTGGGCAGATATAATATTAATCTATGTTTACACTGTTTTTGCTGGCCCGGGAACAAAATAGGCGGGTGCTGCAATCCACCATTGCCTGGCCGCCAACTCACCCAACGAGAACGTTTTTAGAAACGGTTCTCATCTAATTGCGTCTATTTACATCTTCCATGGCCACATTAAGTAGATCCTGACACTGTTTACTTCAGTTTAGTTGGAAAGTTTAGAAGTATCGTTTTGTGTATAATGCAATTCGTATGCCATGCAGTTCGGCATGTAAGGCTACCAACTTGCAAGAGAGTAGACAGATTTGTCTCCTTGGTCATCAGATGCAGTAAAACATCACTTTATAAACTAATTCCACTATTCAGAACATTTTCGCTATTTAAAAGAACAGACCCCTGTTAAAAGTCTTAAACATGTCTCATCAGTTCGTAAGGTTTAAAACTTTACCTTTTCTATCGTTACAAGTTCTAAACCATTTCACGGCCACTTCTTTTTTCAACCCTCTTCTTACAGTTTTCCAGGCCTTCACGTCACCTGCTTCATCTCCACATCCATGTGACATGCGCAGTATCTCCTCCGCTGAAACCGCATAACTCCACACATTGAATCCACTCAGTTTGCCAAGGACATCTGAGATATTTTTGTTTCCACCTTTAAAACCAATCGTCATGGTCCCTCCTCCTGAAGAGACAAATTAGAGAATAAAAAAGGTTAGACACTACTCAGTAACGTGTCTGTTAAACATAGAATCAAATTATGCCCTACTCTGTAAGACACCTATTAGACATAAAAACAGAGAGTGCGATACTCAGCAAGGTGACTATTAAGTATGCACTACTCTCTAACGAAGAAAAAGGACACAGAAAGGCAGAGTAAGCCACTCTGTAAGGTGACTATTACAATACCAAATCAAACCGCGCACTTCTTAGTAATGTACTAATCAGACATAAAAAGAGTGGGAACAGAGGCAACGTCTGCTCGTAAACACCACGACTCCGTGACGCCATAAAAACAACGACTTCGCTTCGCAGTAAGGTGGCTATTAAACTGTGAACTAGTAATCGTGGCATTATGTACTGTTAAGGAGTTTGCCCTTAGACCCTAAAATAAAAAAGCAAGCCTCCATTTGGAATAAAAAATCCATTGTAGACTATTTTAGGTTTCTTTATTTAAATTAATCAAATGTCCCTACTATAAAGTAAAGTAAAGTAAAGTGTTCTAATTTTACTTGGTCTTGCTGTTACCTTCTATCCCCCAAAATTCTGAACTTGACCAGAATCCATCTGACTGATACTTTCTTTCACCATCTTTGAATATCGCCAGCGATCCCCTGTCAGCTAACCAGGATAAGCACACGTGGTGCCACGTGTCGTCTGCCACACCTAATGTTACCTCGCTGCAGATGAAAGCAAATGTTGTTCGTGTGAGCGAGTTTAGTTTATGGCAGCAATAGCACTAACGACAGACATTGCTTATTGAATTCTGAAGTTGGCAGTTGAAAAATCATTATTATACATGCATGACACAACATTTAATATCCTATTATTATTATCCGGTTATTATGCTAATATTTCAGTTCCAATTAAAATGACATACACATTTGGGTGAATCAAATGAAGAATATATCATGGCTTAATGTCGAAAGCTTATTTTGAGATCATTGCCTTTCCCTGTACTCTTCTCTCCTCTCCATTGTCATCTGTGAGGCAGTAAGGGATGGACCATTATATTTCGAGAGGGCGGGGGGTGGGCAATTTCCAAAAAAAATCCTGCACAGCAAAAATCCTTCAAGGAGTCCATGGGGACAAAAATCGAGCAAGTGCTTTTTACTATCCAGGTCCTGTGTTTGGCTTAAAAAAGAAAATCTTGCACCAGCTATTGCCAGCTAAAAATTTCATGCACAACCTTAAAGGTCAAGTAATAGCATATTGCCCAACCCAAACTCGAAAAATAATGGTCCGTCCCTAACGACAAATTATCCACAAAAACAGCTGCGATAATTGTTGAAGTCATTGTAAAAAACGGGGAAATACTATCTACCTTCTTTTGTTGGCCAATTGAGTTGTAACAGTGTGCTTTAGACAATAGACTCCCAGCACCAATGATTCATTCTGTTTTTTGGTGACTTTGTATTCAATGAAGAAGCCGCTGTGATGTGTTTTCAACCAGAAACAGAGAGTGAAACCCACTTCAAGATGCCCGATATCAGAGAATGACAGGAAGCCAAAATCAACGCCAGGAAGGTCAATCTCGTAGATTCCTACAACAAACAAAGAAGCAAATTATATGGCAAACACAAAATGCAAATAGATGTGTACAAATCCTTTCCAGCGACTGTTTTTTGTTGTTTTGTTTTTTTGTCAGGCCTTTTTAAGTTTCATCACTGTGACTCATACTCGGCAAACAGAATTTTCAAGATATCCTTAGAAGGGAAGTATAAGTCAAGGAAAAGTATGCGTCAGGCCAGTGGCCCATAGAGCCGGAGCATGTCCCAGTTTCTGAAGTATAACGCGACTAAGAGTTTTTCTACACCCCATCCCCCAACCCCCTGGATGGGAAGCTAGTCCATCACAGGGTTGCCTCCCAGCATCAAATTTCCCGTTGCCTTTTCATACAGGTGGGTGGAGAGAGGTACTGTGAGAGTACAGTGTCTTGCAAGAACACAGTAGTATGACCCTGGCAAGGGCCACTTGATCCGAACCCCCGCGTGCTAACCACTAGACCACCGGGCCACTCGCTACAGAGAGGAAGTATAACTAACACAAATTTCCGTCGGGTTTATCGGTATCAAAAAATAAAACGAGTAGGGTTTTTGAACTCGAAAATAAACGTGAAGCTGTGGAAAGCGTGAAAAGCTTTCAGTTAAATTGTTTTAAAGTTTTTTGAGAGCCACTCGATTTAAAGCAGTACAAATATAAAAAACAGCATAGAATTTAAAATGTTCATTTTTAGATTGAATGAGTTACTTATCTCAAAACAGCATCCAGGTGATACTTCTCTCCCNCCCCCCCTCATTTCTTTTTTTAATATATAATTTGCTTCTTGCAAATTGTCTCGTCGTTCAGTTTGATTATCATTCTGTGTTGTTATTATTCTCTCGAAAAAAGAAATGACGGTCAGCAAAATTCACACAATTACAATTTAATGCCTCCACATTCAGATCCTACATTCAAGAAGCCTTTACACGTTTACCCAAATTAGATATAATTACTACCGTTACTTAGACTGTTTTGCCATATGTGGATTTTGCAAATGGGTGTTTCTTCTCTACTTCTAATCAACACTGCTTTTCGATTTCCCTGTGATCGAAAACGATTTTCAATGGACTGAAACTAAAACTTTTAAGACGTTCTGGGCTATACATAGTTCAAAAAATGGTAGGGAATGAATCTCCTACAAAGCTCTTTCTTCATTTTCCTCTCGTCGCTGCGTTCGTACTGTAGAATCAGGCTCATTGTTAAATGTCCCATTTTCTCGTTGTTGATCTTCTTGTCGGCTAGCACTCTCTTGTCTTTGTTCAGCAGTAGCCATGACTCCAATTTGTCTTGGCCCAAAGACTTTTCTTTCAAGGTCCTCAGCTTGGGCAATGGTTTTTCGAGACAACAACTGAATGAAAGCGACGCGAAAGTATCTTATTCTAACAACGTAAATCAAGGGATTGATGAACGAATTCAGTATCGGCATTAAAGACAAAAGATGAACAACGACATGTCCGATTTTAGCAGGAATACTGTCCTTAGCTGAGCGAAAAATGGCGAAACAAATATTTGCTGGGATATAGCACAGAAAAACTGCGAGAAGTACGATGATTGTCAAGTAAAACGCTTTGTTGTTCTTGAGCAACTTTGCTTTCGCTTCCAAGGAAACTTGGTTAGCAGCAATTCGTTTCTCGTTGCGACGGACTTCCTGGTAAACAGCTCCATTGAAGTAGATCATTGCGACAAGGATAACCAGTGGCACCGTTAAAAGAACTGTTAGCTTCGCCACGGAACGTTTCTCTGTCGTTAACATGTCTTCCAAAGGAAGGAAGATGGTTGTGACCCACACCAGACTAGAGGCTATTATGATACGAATTTCGGTAATCAGGTTGTCGTATTGCATGGAATGTTTAATCGCGATGTAGCGTTCTGCATTGATCAAAAGCAAATGATGAAACGATGCCACACAACATTTTTGAGTAACACGTTGGGATACCTTGAATGCAGTGCAAAACATGTTAGCTTCACCTTTCACAAGTAAACTTGCGCTGGCGATAAGCAAAGGTTGAACGACTAGTCCCACCACGAGGTCAGTTGTAGCTAAACAGGCGAGAGCTATATTAGATTTGCTGCGAAGATGTCGTTTCGCTTTCACTGTTACAATCACCAGGATGTTCAGTAAAATGATGAAAGGACAGGTGAGAGCGTTGACGGCGATTATGAAGATAAATACAGCATGAAGATCGGGAGAAATCTTTGCGGGATTCAAAGGAAAAAATGTGAAACCACAAGAAAGTAATGTGGTGTTGCTTGTGGTGTGATTCATCTCGAGTCGCCTAATAACTGATGGATTCTCAGTCCAGACCTTGTGATTTTAAGATTTTCTCGAGTTTTGCACTCTGCCAATCGTGATTTCATTGACGCTTTTTGTATGACTACATCATCAAGGTAGTTTCGTGTTCTCTTGACTAGCATAATACTTTGATCACAAGATGACAATTTCATGATTAAAAATTTGCATTTGTATCATTAGCAAAACATTACTAATAAAGTGCTTTGTAATATCTAATATTCAGCACACGTAGCCGGAACCACTTGAATGCAGTTTAAAAATACGAAGAACTGATAAAAATTGTAATAAAGAATGATGAGCAGAGAGCTTAACACGTACAAAACCAAGTGGATTTGGAACCGGGAAGTGCGCATTAAGGTACAACGTTTTGTTCAGTTT